CCACATGCACATGTACCCTTACACACAGAACATGATTTCATAAAGTAACTGGGCCTGACCGATGATTCACCCATTCCTTTTGACTGCTTCATGAGCACACCAACCTGGGTACACTTTCTGGTGCTCTCAAGCCAAAGATCTGACTAGTTAAGCTAGAGAAAGCGGCCTCTGGGAGGATTTAACCTCTTCTCTCCATCCAGTCCCCTTAGGTATATAAGTACACACTCACAGAGGGATGTTTTAAGAGGGATGGGGTCCTTTATGATGAGTGACTACCCCCCTCCTCATGCACTCCCATCTTACTTCATGCTTCATCACTCTTGCTCATGTACATACACACACACACACACACACACACGCATGTGCGGAGTCAGTGGGAGTGTGGAGGTGTGGAGGTTGTGTGAATAAGAAATATGTGGAGAAGCAGGTTACACACTGTGTGCATGACCTCCAGAGTTTTTATTGTCTTAAAACACAGAGAATAGGTCAACAAATGGATCATTTGTAAGCATTTCCCCATACTGGGGATTGAACCCAGGGTCTTGCATTTGCTAGGCAAGCCCTCCACCATTCCCCCAGGCTGTAGTGAGTATCTTTTAAATGGCAGAGATTGCTTTGTTTTGAACATTATTTTCTCTTTTACTTTTAAAATTGTATTATTTGGTAAATAAATTGAAGAAAATACATCTCAGAATGATGTTCTACTTAAAGTTACATTTTAAAAGACTTTTGGGAGGATATAAGGAAAGGGTGTAGGAGGGTGAATGTGGTGAAAATATTATGTACTCATGTATGAAAATGGAAAAATGAGATCTGTTGAAACTATTCCAGGAGTGGGGCAGGGGACAATGTGAGGGGGTGAATTTAGCTAAGATAGACTGTGAGCACTTTTGTAAATGTCACAATGTGCCTCAGTATGATAATAAAAAAATTTTTTAAAGACTTTCTACTTTGTAATAGTCAGCTTCATGTTGCATATATCTGTGTGTTAACTGAAAACTCAAATCTGTTATATACCTATGGATGACATATAATTTCATGGGACTTTATTTCCTGTTTTTCTCTGGTTTCCAAATAGTTTAAAAGAGGATCATGATATATTTATTGGGTGGTGAGCAAATGGCCCGTAATGAGTATTGAGCTTAAGAATACACAAATAAAAGGCTAATGAGTGTAGTTGGCAGTGAGAAAGTAGCACCATACTCTCTATATTTTCTTTTTTATGAGCCAGGCTTGTGAGTAACTTAAGTACCACTCCTTCTCAATACTTGCAGATATCTTGGAGATTCTGCTATTGAAATACAAAGTATGAACTTTCAATTTTACTGAAATTAAAAACATATTAGAGGAATAATTCTTAATAACTTAATAAGAATCTACTGCACCCTACTGTATAGTTTTGAGTATTTATAAACTTAATAATGATAGATACACCCATATAGCATTTATGTACCATGCATAATTCTTAGCACTTTATATAAACGGTTTCTTCGTAGTAATTTTTTTTAGTGGTACTGGGTTTTGAACCCAGTGCTTCACACTTGCTAGACAGGCACTCTACTACTTGAACCACTCTGCCAGCCCTTTTTTGCATTGGGTAGTTTCAAGATAAGGCCTCGTGAACTATTTGCCTGGGCTGGTTTTGAAGTGTGATCCTTCTGATCTCTGCCTCTTAAGTAGCTAGGATTACATGTGTGATCTACCAGTGCCTGGCCTTCATAGTAACCTTATGAGGTAAATGCACAGGTATCACAGTATTTTTACAGATATGAAATCTGAAATAACTTGCAGAAGATCATCCAACTAATAAATTACAGAGTTGGGACTGGAATTTTGGCAGACAGACTTTAAAGACTAAACACTCTACTATATACTCCTAAATATTACAATTTACAGTATTATTATGTTTCCAAAAATTGAATTTTATTATATTTATGTATTTCACAATATTCCCTAGAAATGCCAAAATTCTAGCAAGGCCCAATAATTACCTCAATAATCCTTCCAGGACCATGTGAAAAATTCACTTTTTTTGCAGTGCTAGGATTTGAATTCAGGGCCTTATGCTTGCTAGGCAAGTACTCAACCACTTGAGCCATACCTCCAGCCCCCAAAATAAAAGAAAAATATAAGGAAAATTAAAGTATTGCATTTTTGGGGTCACACTTGAGTCCTAAACCCTAGTAAAGTGTGCTGTCTGGTGGCATGAGGCTGGTGGCTTATCTTCCAGCCATAAAGGACCCTTACACTAGTCTAAAGTTAAATCAAATGAACCTCCATTCCAGCATAAGCTATGGAGAACTGAGAGCCTCAAATTCTTTCCTTGAGAAGAGGTGTAAGAGAAAGGAAATAAAAAGCAGCCCCTAACATCAGGAAGCTGACCTGGTACTCATGGCTAGGCCGCATTATTCTCCTATTGAACATAAACCATTCCATAGAGTACCAACCACAGACAAGGTTACTCTAGGAGTATAATAAAATGAGACAAAGAAAGACCACTTAATTTTGTCTAAGCACAGACAAAAACAAGGTCACTGTGCCATCCACATACTAAACAACCCCCATATGAGTTTAAATGAGTGGCTACAACTTCTTTATCAATTCCAGCTTTATCTTTGTTCTAGTCTTCCCTCCCTATGGATAGATTTATTGAGCTACTAATAATAAAACTGCCCTGATTTCCTGTCAGCATCCAATCTAGTGCACATCTTCACTTTTTAAGGCATTCCTCTAAATCACACAACCAAAGGCCAAGTTCTGCAATAATCCCCACTTACTGATACATACTGTGGTCCTCCCTGATGTGTTTTCCCTCACTGCAACAAGGAATAATAAAAGCTTGTTTAACCATAGGTGTGCCTGCTTTTGGCTGGAGGCCATTGACACAAGAGCTACAGCAAACAGGTCCTGGCCTGCTGAGTAAGTACAGAAGAAGCACCTTTGCCACTGCAGCGCATGGACAGGAGGGGTTGCAAGATATCTGGGTGGCCTCTGTGAAATAGGTGGAAAGATACACCCATGTTTTTCATTTTTTAAATGCATAATAATAGTAGCCACAACTAAAAGGGCCTAATTTTTGTGGAAGGAATTTGGGGGCAGTCAGAAATTTCAGAGGTCAAGATCAATGGTGATGAAAATATCTGTATTTACAAACTATACTCCTGTTTAGGTAACTTGACTTTTTCTATATCTTGCCAACTATGGCAGTCCCCACCACCCCAAAAACAATTGAACATCTACCATCATTTCTGGGAGAATGATTTGACATTGAGGAGGGTACTTTCTACACAGGAACAAGAAAGAAAAAGTTTATACGTTCTTTCCCTGCTGACTGTAGAGAGATGAGACAGAAATAAGAAACACAGGCAGTTTGTAAGTTTACCTCTAGGTCAAAATATGAAGAAGGAGGCATGTTCAGTGGTGGAAGAATAAGTCACAAGCAGAACTTTTGTTCCACTTGGTTTATAATTCTGTGAGATCACATCACAACCATCTGGGATAGAAGAGTGATAGGCAGAAATAATGAGACAGAATAAGCATTTCCTAACCACTCTCAGCTCCCACTTGGTATGGAAGGCACCAGGAAGTTCCCTAGGGGGATAGATGTGACCTTCACAGAGTTTGCCAAAGGGAGAAACCAAACTTCTGAGTTTTCACAGTTGAGGAAAGCAAATTTCACCTCTGGACAAAGTCTGACCAACCACATCCCATTGTTCCCAGTCAGTGCCTCCTTCCAATGTCATAAAGTTATGTATGCCCTTATCATGCAGATGACATTGTGGAAAGGTAGGTAAGATGAAATATAGACTGTCACACAGGAACTTGTTATTTATAAAGTACTTACATTATTAAATAGCAGTGAATTTACTGGATTGATTAAAATTGAGGTTTTTGAAAATTTCCCTGTAACCTTGTGGCATGAAAGTCAACTTGAGATTAATATTAGATCAGTTATAAATAATTAAACATATTCTTTCTTATACATCTTAGTGTAGTGCTGGTAAATTTGCATACATGTATAAACACATACAAAAGTAACTAAAAACTAAGTCAAAGCATCAATAGTGCTTATCTTTGGTGAAGTTCTCATATGGGTTTTGGTTTTAATTAATGTATATATTTTAATATTTTGCAGAAGCCCTCCCATGAACATATTACTTTCATAATAAGACCAATTTTAAAACATGAAATGCCCTGAAATTTTTATTCATTTTATTTTACAGTGAAGGAATATGAAATATCTTTTCAAACTGGTAAACTGCTCACTTTCAATGAATGACTCAATATACTATAGAAAAAGAGAATTGTACACACTAACCATAGCTTACACGATTATACAGAACATTATTTGCAAACTTTTGAAAATACTGTGACTAACACTTCACTGATGAACACTAATCTCAATACAACTAAGTTTTATTATTTATCACAGTCACATAAAATGCAAGAGCCTGTGCACAAGCTGTTACTAACAATAAATGTAGTTTTACCTGAAGTTCTCAAACATGTGCCTATCTCTTCTTCAGCATTCAAGTTTTAAATTCTACTGTATTTCTACTGCATGTGAAGCAGGCACAACAAAATTAAACTCACTAGCTAAAGGACTAAGAAAACAAAAATACAAAAAACCAGCAAAAAGTCTTGGGTTGGTTTCCAAGATTTTCTTTCCAAAGAAATATTGATCTCATTTAGCATTTCTGATAATGTTCACAGCCACAGATTAATAGCTACATGACAAACGGATTTTAGGAGTGTTAAACTGCAGCATGCTACATTAATGTCTTAAATCATTTACCACATTCTACATGTCTTAAAACATTCTGCTACTAAAATGCAAGGTTAAAATTAGAATTCAAACTTTTATATATTATATATATATGTATTTCTGAGACATATGTTTTAATTGATGCGATAAGAAAAATACAGAACACAAGACCGTCATTAATGTCTTACATCTGGAGTAATTGATGTAGGGCAGTTAATTTCAGGGCCACTCTGCTTTAGCGATCAATATCTTCTACCAATGCCTCTGGGTTTTTGCAACAGGCTTTAACCTCCTCTATTGCAGCCATCCAATTATCATAAATAATTTTGTCATAAGTTGTATCATTAACTTCTCTAACTACCCCCTCCTGCTGAGATTCAAGTGCATCACCTGAAAAGAATAATACTGATCTTGGAATTATGTAAGTACGTAAATTGTGACCAAGCAAAAAATCATCATTTTCATCCCCTCCATTTAAGTTGATTCCATGAGGAGAGAAGAAATTGAAGAATGAATCCTTGGGAAAATCTTCTGTCACAGTTCGGATTGTTCCCCAGGTCCGATGCTTCTGCTTCTTCTTCATGGTTTTCAAAGTGACATTCTTTCCTTCATTCCAATCTATTTCACAGCCTGTGGAATACTCAATTGCAGATCCCCTATAGGGATGGGGATCATAATATCCTAGCTTTGACTTCAGCACGTAGGTTTTTGTCAACAGCTCATTTTTGAAATATTCATTGGGTTTGAAGTGAAATTCCAATGTGAAACTGAGAGGCTCGCCAGGTTCGGAAAGCTTGACTTTAATGTCTGTCAGGAGCTTTAAAATAGGCTCATCACATTTCTTAATCAAAGGAGTGAGTGTGGCAACGTTTTTTAAAACAGTCAGCCAAAAGTCCGGAATTCCCTTAGGGTCCTCTTTATTCTCTTCTCTTCCCGTGCCTGCAGCGCCTTCACCTTCCTCCTCCTCCTCCTCCTCAATGGCATAATCATAATAATAGTCCTCATAAGCATCATCTTCATCTACATACTCATGTACCATACCCTCCTCCCTACCATTCATCTCTTCCTCCCCATCCATTTCCTCATCCTTATAGTCCTCAGCGTCTGATTTATATTCACATTCCTCTTCTGTAGGTTCATAGATTGCATTGATGATTTGACGTCTTTTTTCCAGTAAGGGTTGATACATTTCAGCAAACTTTCTTTCGATGTCATGAAATTCCCTCAGGAATTTGGATTCTAAATTGGCTGCTCTAGTTTGAAGCTTTTTTAAGGGCTAACACACGGTACTTAACTTTTACAGGGAGACTTTCAACAAAGTCTGTATCTAAGAGATAACCCATAAGCCCTTTCGGACGATCTGGTTCTAAGTCCTTATCAGCACCTTTACCCTTTCCCCCTTCTTTCCTGGACCCTGCAGCACCATCTTCACCTTTTCCTGCTTCTTCCCGGAGCCCGGCGGCGGCGGCTTCTTCACCGCGCTCCCCATCATCTCCGGGTCCAGAGGCGGCACCATCTCTGAGCTCGTGAGGGTCCCCGGTTCCCTCCGTCATTTTCTGGCTGTCAATCTCTTCTGGATTGGATTCTGACCGTTTCTTGTGCTCGGCTAACTCGGCCATTATTGAAAAGATTGTGAACGCCTAAACTGGCTAGCACCGAGATCAGCAGACCTGTCTCCCGCAGGAGAACACTCACCGAAATGTCAGATGCAAATGCAACGGTGGCCGGGCACAAACAGAAGGAGCAGTGGTGGCAGCGATGGTGGGCTGCAAGGGGGGTGAACAGCGGTGCTGAGGCTGCTGAGGCGGCGGCCTGGGCCGGGGAGCAGAGGACAGCGATGGCTGCGGTGATGGGTCCTGAAGGAGGCGGCCAAGCACTGCAGAGTCGAGTCGCAGGGGCAGACCTCCTCACAAGCAGCTGCAGCAGCCAGAGCGGGGGGGGGGGGGGGGGAACGACAGACAAACAAAAACGGTGCGGCATATGATTACGCAGCAGACTCTGAGCTAAATTTTTTAGGTGCATGGAGCTTACTGCATCACCCTCTTCCCTCCCATAACTCTGCTCTAATCTCATTTGCCGGGCTGCAGTGATTGACAAACGCTGAGCCAGTAGATTATGAGATCTATCAAGTTTCCGAGTCTGCTCACCTTCTCTAATATGGCTGATTCATCCTCCTCCCAGCCATCCAACCACCCCACCTCCCTGCGGAGGTTTCTACAAAACCTAGTGTTTAATATTCCTTCAAATTTCAGCTGACCTTATAGTTTTATAATTTCAAAACTGCTAAAGGAAAATAGTAATTAAATTGTCAGAGAATGGGCGAAGACAAGGCACCCACCCATCCTAAATCTATCCCTTTGGTTTTATCCTAGGGTTCTGGAGAGAAGAGAGGTGGGTGGTAGACTAACTTACGAAGAGATCCTAGAAGGTAAATAACTCTGATTTCTACAGGTGAAGAATCGTGGCTAGTAATATTATGGTTTGTTGCCTACAAGCAAATTGAAGAAAATTTTACGTTTCAGTTATAGGTCAGTGAAAATAAAGGTCTGTTTTCTTCTCTTTCCAAAAAAAAAAAATTAGCATTGGTGGGCTTGGGGTGAAGTTACTGCCAGTGATTTAAATATACTACATTCTGTTTTTCTGTATTTTCAACAAGGTGTAAGATTTTTAATTGGAAAATTCTCCTAACATTTCCCATGGGGAAGGAGCTGGTGAGGCACAGGTGAAGGTGAAGTGCTAATAATTATAGTGTATCTACCTACATAACTAGTGAACTCACAGGAGAATAAACCAGTCACTTGGCTTATCAATAACCCCCGTCCTAAACTGACTTTCCACTTCCTCTTTATTGATAGTTGCTTGAAAAGACAGTAGGAATTTTAAAAAGAAAACCCAGAATGTAAAGTCATATTTCTTTTTAATAATCATAGCATTTCCTTGACATTTTCAAGCTTATTGGAAATAATCTAAATCTCAGCATTAAGAGATGGTTAAATATACGATAAATTATTCATAGGATGAAATACTGTGTGTGCCCGTTTCCTCTGCATAGATATAGGTTGGTCTGTTTACTTTGTTTATATTTCATACACTGATTAATTGAACATATTTAAAATTTTTTAAGTGTCTGTTATTGTTTTTCAGATTTAAAGAACAGTTTGAATTGTGTTAGTACCACAGAGATATAGTTTACAGAGTGTTGTATTTATTTCCAGATTCTGTCAGTTTGTATGCACATTTTTCAACTTATTTTATTTCTATGTACTGCATACCACTACAGCCTTTACAAAATTCAATTTTCAGGCTCATTTCTCAGTCTGGAAGGTCCATAGTTATGTATCCCATACACTCAGTTTTCCTTCTCTGCTTTTGTAGTTTCAACATTCCTTGTAGTTTTCTGGTAGTAAGTACTGTACATGTTCATTGTAGAAAATTGGAAAATAGGGACATTTTAGGATATAAGAGAAATAACTAGTAATCTCAAAACCCTTAGAGCACCAATGTGGACCTTGTGATCTTTTTATTTCTAATTGTTTAAACATATGTTTCTCTTTTGGCCAAAGGGTTTTAAAAATAAAACTGGGATAAACTCATTCCTAAGCTTTTTCTTATTAGCATATCCCAATGTCCTTAAATATTCTTCAAGAATATGATTTTAAAGTAAACCCCATTGTTATTTAAAAATATTGTGGAGTTTAAACTAAAGTATTAAAAAGGACAAAGAGAAGTTATCTTCATTTACTTTTAAGGCTGAAGATTCCTCAGTCATTCATGCAGTCACAGGGACCACAGGAAGAAGGATGTCTCATCACATAAAACAAGAAAGACATGAGGACACCAAAAGCATAGGCAACAAAGAAAAATATAGTTATCTCTAGTTTTCGAATATGACTTCTTCAAAGTTAAAAACTTTGTGCATCAAAGAACACTATTACTATCAAAAAAAAATTAAAAGGCCACCAACAGTATAGGAAAATCACTTGCAAATCATGCATGTGATAGGAGATTAATATCTGGAATATATAAAGGATCCTACAAATCAGTAACTCAAACAAGAACAACAACAATCAAAACAGCAGTTCAGGCCTGGAACCTTGGCTTAAGTGGCAGAGCAACTGCCTAGCAAGCACAAAGCCCTGGTAACCACACTTTCCCCTTCACTTCCCCCAAAATCCATCAATTCAAACAGGGGCAAAGGCTTAACCAGAGATTTTGCTAAAGAAGAGAAACAAGTGGCCAATAGGTCATGAAAAAATGATCACTATCACTAATTATGGAAGTACAAATAAAAACCCACAACTACATACTATTTCACACCCATTTGAATGGCTAAAAAAATGCAGAAAATAACAAATGAGGATATGGACAGTGGAAAGCAGTATGGCAGTTCCTCAAAATGTTACCAATATCTATCAATTCCACTTCTGGGTGTAAATTCAAAAAGTCAAAGTCAGGTCTCAGACATTTGTGCACCCATGCCCATCATTCACAGAAGTAAAAAGTTGGAACCAGCCCAAATGTTCACTGATAGGTGAACAAAATGTGTGTGTGTGTGTGTGTGTGTGTGTAATGTGTGTACTAGTGGTCATGGTGGAAATAGAGTACTATGCAACCGTAAAAAGGAATTAAATTCAGACACATGCTACAACAATGAATGAACCTTGAAACTATTATACTAAGTGAAATAAGTCAGACACAAAAGAAAAAATATTATGTGATTACACTTATTCAAGATTCCTAGAGCAGTCAAATTCATAGAGACAGAAAGTAGAATTGTGGTTGCTAGAGGTTAGGAGCAGAGGTTTCAGTTCAGGAAAATGAAAATACTCTGGAAATAGATCGCGATGTTGGTCAAAGCAATATGGTATACTGTAATGCCCTTGAACTGGTAGTTTAAAAATAGCTGAAATGGTACTTTCCATGTATATTTTACCATTATAAAAGTGTTGAGAGAAACAACAAAGAATACACAATACTATAAAATGAGAACTATACACATAAACACACATATTTACAAATAAGTTATTTCTATGTAAAGAGAAATGTCAATGGCTAAAATTAATAAGTTTAGTAATTCCAAGCCACACATGGTAGCAAAAACCTGTAGTGCCTATAATCATAGCAGCTCAAGAGGCAGAGGCAGGAGGATCACGAGTTCAAGGCCAGCCTGGGCAAAAGTTAGTGAGACCCTAACTCAAAAATAAAATAGAAACAAAGGGACTGGGAGCATTGGACCAAGTGGTAGAACCCTTGCCTAGCATGTACAAGGCCCTGGATTCCATCCTAGTGTAATAAAGATAAAAATAAAAATTAAATAAAAAGTTTAATAATTCCAAATTTGGCAAAGATGTAGAGAAATTAGGACTCATATATATATATATAATATATATATATAATATATATTATATATATATATATATATATATATATAATATATATTTATATGAGTGTATGGTGTGTGTGTGCTTATGGTACATTTTTTTTCCTTTATTCATATGTGCATACAATGTTTGGGCCATTTCTACCCTTTTCCCCTCACCCCCTCCCTCTCCCCCCCACCCCCTCCTCCTTCCCCTCTACTCCCTCCTTTCCCGGCAGAAACTGGGTACCGGGGTTTTGAACTCAGGGTTTTGAGCTTGCTTAGCAAGCCTTCTACCAATTGAGCCACACCCACAGTCCTTTTTGCTTTAGTTATTTTTTAAAATAGGGTCTCACATTTTTGTCCAGGGCTGGCCTCTGACCACAATCCTCCTACCTATGCCTCCTGTATAGCTTGGATTACAGGCATGAAGCACCATGCCTGACTTGTGATTTGGGGAGGGAGTCTCATTAAGTTTTTGCCTGAGCTGACCATGAACTGCGATCCTCCAGATCTCTGCATTCCTAGTATCTGGTATTACAGGCATGCACCACCACGCCCAGCTGGGACTCTCAGATATTGCTACTGGGAGTATAAATTGGCATAAAAATTTTGAAAAACTATTTGGCAGTATCTATTAAATGTAAACACTTGCCTCCTCTAAGACTCAGCAATTTCTAGTTTAGGTATACTACAAATGTTCTTTGTCACCTTTATTTATGTTAAAAATAAGTCCATTGGGACATATTTTATGCAACATGTTATATACCCTTATAAAGTACACAAATCAATGATTTTTAAAATTAAAATTACCAAGTTGTAAGGGGTTGGTGGAGTGCCTCAAGTGGCAGATCATCTCCCTAGCAAGTGTGAAGCACTGAGTTCAAACTCCCATACCATCAAAAAATTAAAAAAAGGAAAGAAATTTACCAAGTTGTACAATCACCACCATGGATTAGGTTTAGAACGTGTTCACCATCCCAGGATCTTCCTTCATGAACAATTACTGTTAATTCCTCTTATACCTCCTGTCCTGCTATTGGCACCACTAATCTACTTTCTGTCTTTATAGTTCTGCCTTTTCTGTGTTTTTCATACAAATGGAATCATGTGACATGATATGCAGTCTTGTTGCATCTGATTTCTCTCACTGAAAGCAAGGTTTCTGAGATTCATCTATGCCACAACATTATCATATTTGGTTCCTCTTTCATGCTGAATAGTATTTAAGCATATGGATACACCATAGTATGTTTAATT